TATATCCGCAAAATCCCCTCAAATACCTGGCAATTAAGCATTTCTAAGTAACACATTGTAAAAAGGGTAATCACATGAAGAATTAGAAAATACTTTGAATTTTATAAAAATGAAAACACAACATATTCAAATCTATGGAACGCAGTGGAAGCACTAAGAGGAAATTTTTTTTTGCGTTAAATGCTTACATTAAAACATAACAGATTTCAAATCAATCATTTAAGCTTCTATCTTAAGAAACTAAAAAGAGAAAAGCAAACTAAACCTAAATGTAGCAGAAGAAAGGAAATTAGAGCAGAAATCAATGAACTTAATAGCAAAAAAAAAAAAAAAGGAAAATAAAACCAAAAGATCTTTCTTCTCTAAAAAGATAATAAAATAAGCCTCTAACCAGACTTACCAAGAAAAACAAAAGACACAAATTATGAATGCCAAGTGTAAAAGGGAGGACATCACAAATCCACAGACATTCAATAGATAATAAGGGCATGAAGAGCGCTATGGCCATAAATTCAACAACTTACATGAAACGGATAAAATTCTTGAGACAAAATAGCAAAGAAGAAACAGATCACTGAATAGTTCTATAACTATTAAACATATTGAAGTATATTTTATTTTATTTTTTAATTTTTTTAATGTTTATTTTTGAGACAGAGAGAGAAGAGCATGAATGGGGGAGGGGCAGAGAGAGAGGGAGACACAGAATCGGAAGCAGGCTCCAGGCTCTGAGCCATCAGCCCAGAGCCCGACGCGGGGCTCGAACTCCCAGATCGTGAGATCGTGACCTGAGCTGAAGTCAGACGCTTAACCGACTGAGCCACCCAGGCACCCTTGAAGTATATTTTAAATAAATAAATAAATTGTATTTTAAAATCTTTGAGAAAAAAGAATTAAAAAAACAACTCAAGGCCTAGGTGGTTTTTTTGGATAATTCTACCAAACATTTAAGGAAGAAATAATACTAATTTTATATAAATTCTTCCAGAATATATAAGAAAATAGATAAGAAATATAGATGTAAAAATCATCAACCAAGTATTAAGTTGATTTCAACAAGTTACAAAAAATATATATTTCATGATCAAGTAGGGTTTAATCTGGGAATGAAAGGTTGGTTCAACATTAAAAAATTTTATATGTAATTAACCAAGTCAAAAATATTAAAGAGGAAAAACTATGATTATCTCGAGAAGCAAAAGCCTTTGACAAAATTTTACCTCAATTTATGAAAAACAAAAGAAAGCAAAACAAAAAAACCTCTCCAAAACCAGAAACAGAAAAGAACTTCCTCAACATGATAAATGGCATCTAATTAAATATTTAGCTAATACAATGTTTGACAGTGAAAGACTGAATGCTTTCTGCACCCTAAGATCAGGAATAAGGTAAAGATGTCCGTTCTCACCACTCCTGCTCATTATTGTACTGGACGTCCTAGCCAGTGCAATATGGCAAGAAAAAGAAATAATAGGCAAACATACAGGAAAAGAAGAAATAAAACTGTTTCTATTCACAGATGACATGGTTATCTACATAAAAAATCCCAGTCTTTCAAAAAGCTACTAGAACTAATAAGTGAGTGCAGCAAGGTCTCAGGATCCAAGACAAAAACCAAAAATCTAGTAATAAGCAACTGGAAATTGAAAAAAGTAGCATTTACAATAATATAAAAAAAGAAATACTAAGGTATAAATCTTGCAAAATATATGCAATATTTGCATGTTTTAAGTGATAAAAAAACTAATGAAAGAAATCAAAGATCTAAATAAATGGAGTGATATGTCATGTTTATGGACTGAATAACATAATATTGTTAAAATATCACTTTTCTCCAAAATCAATAGATACAATGCATTTCAATTAACAATTTTTGCCTAAAAATAGTAAATACTAAAAAACAATTTTTGGAAAAGGTTAAGTAACTTAAGAGTAGCCAAAACAATTTTTATTTATTTCCCAATGTTTATTTATTTATTTTGAGAGAGAGACAGAAAAAGAGAATGAGTGAATGAGAAAAAGAGAGACAGAAAAAGAGAATGAGTGAATATCCTAAGCAGGCCCCACGCTCAGTGTGGAGTCCATTGCAGGGCTCAATCCCACAACCATGAGATCATGACCTGAGCTGAAATCAAGAGTTGGAGGCTTAACTGACTGAGCCATCCAGGCACCCCTAAAAACAATTTTTATAAAGAAGAACAAAGTTTAAGGACTCATCTGAATTCTAGACTTACTGTACTACTTTCAAAAGTAGTGACAAGTGTGGTATTGGAGAAAATACAGACACACAGCTCAATGAAACAGACTAGCAGCTTAGAAATAGTCCTGCACATCAAGTGATTTTCAACAAAGGCACAAAAGCAATTCAGTAGAGGAAGAACACTCTTTTCAAAAAATCGTACCAAAACAATTATACATCCACATGCAACACATAAATGTCAATCCATACTTTGTACCCTATACAAAAATTAACTCAAAATGGATCATAAACCTGGTTCCTCAAAAAAAAAAAAAAAATTAAAAACAGAATTACCATATGATCCAGTAATTCCACTAATGGGTATTTACCCAAAGAGTACAATAACACCAATTCAAAAAGATATAGGCACCCCTGCATTATTACATTATTTATAACAGCCAAATTATGGAAACAGCCCAAGTATCCATCCATAGATGAATGGATAAAACAGACATCTCCCTCTCTCTCTCTCTCTCTCTCTCACAGGAATATTACTCAGCCATAAGAAATAATGACATCTTGCCATTTGCAACAATATGGATGGATCTAGAGGGTATAATGTTAAGCAAAATAAGTCAATCAGAGAAAGACAAATTCAAATTTTTTTTGAATTCATAACATATGAATTCACTCATGTGGAATGTAAGAAACAAAACAAATGAATAAAAAAGGAGATATATATAAAAAACCAGACTCTTAATTATAGAAAGCAAACTGATGATTAGCAGAGAAGAGGGGGGGGGGGGGGG